TGCACACTATGCTCATTATATGCACACTATGCTCATTATATGCACACTATGCTCATTATATGCACACTATGCTCATTATTTGCACACTATGCTCATTATATGCACACTATGCTCATTATATGCACATTATACTACACTAATATTTCTAAAAATATAAAGGCACCTATATATTTTCACATAAACGTTAAATGAAAAATTCAGAGAAAATAATTGATGTGATAGCGTATGGATCATATGGCGATATGACTGATGTAAAGCGTGTCAATCACTATTATATATATATATACTTCCACTTCCATGTTAATCTTTGTTGTTCATCTGAACCTGCAACCGCAACGAGTGACACACGATGAGACATTATTTTTGCTTGTTTTAGATTGTAGCTCCACCTACAGTTAAATCTCATTGGTCTAAAACCATGGGATGTTCTTGTATCTCTCACTGTTGTCTGATGCTTAAAGATAACGCATAATAAAACAAATGCATGTTCCGAAAGGTGTATGTTTATCAACCGAGAGGATCATTTATGGTTTTATCACTGCAAACATTGGATTAATGTGATCCTGGGTGCCGACATGCTCATATGATGTCATACAGAGAGGATTTCTGCACAATAAAGCATCACCTGCCTGTGATTATATGGCACTTTTTTGAAAGGTGAGTTGGAATTCTCTACTTGGAAACATGCAAGTGCATGAATAAAGCATAAACATCAAACACATTCTGGCTGGCTGTGATTTTGCAGCTCCATGCAGCATTTTGCATTCAGTGAGGAGGAAAAATGTCAGTTTTTGATCAATTCGTCAGACTTTTTCATCAGGTTTATACAGACTTACCGGGTTGACGTCAATGACCGTCTCGTGCTCCTCCTTGTTGGGATTCATCCCGAACACATCCTGGACGAATCTGTCATCTGCCTGGTAGAAATGAGGGGAGGACATGATGATGGGCGCACCTGAGAGGAGACACACATGTTAACGGGATGTCCCAGCATCTGTAGGGTGACAAACAGCATTCAGACTCTCACTGACCTTCTTTGCAGACGCTGGCGTTGAGGAGGCCGGAGCCGAGACAGTTCCCGGCCGGCACACAGAAGCCTGCGTTATCCGGGTTAATTGTACGATTGGCGAAAACCTCGCTGGGTGGGACAAAGCGGAAACCGGGAACCCCTCGTACGCTCACGTCAGACTCGTACTGGGCATATATAGACCTGTCAACAAAAACATGCATTAAACACACACTGATTCCACTGAAAGACAGTTTTGTTTAGGACTGTGATTGCTTCCTTATTTAAGTAAACAAGCAATAAATCTGAAAAGCAGATTTGTGTTTCAGTTTGACCTACTTCTCAGATTTAACAGCTTTGTTTGTGTGACTATAATTTCCCTGTAAAATGGTTTTGGTTTCTTTTATAACATGTTTTTATATGTTTGATAATCACTTCAGTAAACTGCTGAATAGTTTTGCTTGATTGGAGGCCTGATTTAGACCTAATTAAACAACCTGCATGAGGAATCACACATGCTTGACCCACATACAGTATGTGACCTGATAGATTAAAAAAAAACAAAAAAACACACTTTTAGGAAAAATGCTTGGTCACACATAAGCACTGAGTTCATCAGGTCACACGTTCAGACCCAATATGATCAATACTGAATCAAAAACAGAATTCATAAACTAAACCTTTAATCAGTGACTCAGAAACCATTATTAATGTACAATAAAAATTGCAATAATAAAATATGTTTATACTTATATTCATGATATGGCAACTGAATGTGAATATGCTAAAATATTGTTTAAATAGTTGATATTCATAATCATATTGAGTGAAATGAAGATCTGTTAACAGGTCAGTGTGTTTAAGTGGTCTGCGTCCTCACCTGCACAGATCAGAGGAGAATATATAGAGTTTCTCTGTTTTTGTGATGACTGGATGGAAAGATGCTCCGTCAGTGCCGTTGATCCTGTTACAGCCTTCTGTACTCCACCAGTTCAATGTACTGACAAACAGAACAAATAATCCATAATTCAATCTTCTCTGAGCACATGCTGATTTTGCAGCTCGTTCTAAATCCATTCATAAATCTTCTAGAGATAAAACGAGACGGTGAGTTTTCTGCTGATTTTACCTCTGTCCGTTCCACTCGTCTATACGAGCAAAGTCCAGATAATTCTGCTTCCCCGTGAAGAAAATATAATCACCATCGTCGGTGCCATTTTTCTGAAACAAGTCAGTGACATGAGAATGAAACACTTGTACAAAATCACAATAAACAGATGTGTGTATCACTGAGAAACACACATATCAAGTACAGTTACACTGAAGTCTCTTTTGTTCACCAAAGCTGCTTTTATTTGATCAAAAATACAGTAAAAATTCAGAAATATTACTACATTTTAAAATAGCTGTTTTTTATGTAAACATGTTCAAATGTATACAAAATTATTGTAATATGCTGATTTGCTCAAGAAACATTTCACTGATTATTATCAATGTTGAAATCAGTTGAATATTTTTGTTGAAACTGATACATTTCCTTTTTCAGGATTCACAGATGAATAGAAAGTTCAAAGAACAGCATTTACTTGAAATAGAAATCTTTTGTAACACTGTAAATGTCTTTACTGTCACACTGAATCAATTCAATGCATCCTTAATGAATAAAAGTATTGAAAACTTTTTTTTTTCTGAAGCTGAATCTAATAATCAGCCAAAGAGAGAGCTACTGACTGATGCCACAAACCTCAAACAAAACACATGATTTGAGTCATTCTAGTCTAAAGCACAAACACTTCACAATGACGCACACACTGAACTTTATTAATTAGTGTTAGAGGTATAAAACTTGTACTAGTAATAGTGATGATTGACAGCAAACACCACGGCCACTAACCTTATAGAAAAGTCCGAAGTGGTCATCCATTGTGATAAATTTTTGGATTAATTTAAGCAGCGGATCTTCGTAACCCCACAGCAGGTCACCGACCTTGAACGTCCCAAACACACCGATGTTGTTTGATTTCATCAAGGCACTGACGAAGCCTTCAAACCATCTACCTTTGGCTTTCTCCATCACGGTCTGAAGTCAAAAACACCCATACACGGTGAATTATCTAATCTCAGATTTCACTTTTTATGCAAACATAATTTCTTCTTTTTTATTTAGATTTTAGGGTGAAATGTGACACGCTTTCACGAGATTCACTCATTAAGCACGTGACATGCTCTCATCTCTCTGTGGTTTTAGTAGGTCAGAGATCACAATCTCACCACAGCGGGGATGTTGACTGTTCGGACGATGTCGTCCTCAGAGCCGCGTGACATGTTGGGCTCAAACACGTATGTCTTCGGATTAACAGCCTCCACTTTGGTTCCGTTGTCCAGAAATTTCACTTCCTCCTTCGGCCGATACTCCCTGAAAGAGGAAACGCAAATGTGGCTCTTACTGACTTATGAAAATAACACTGTCATGGAGCTGAGCAATTTTATGTGATTCAGGACAAATAAATACTAAAATCTGAAGCATTATGTGGTTTAAATGAACACAGAGCATCTGTTGTGTCGTCAAACTTGTGCAAGAGAAAGCTGCAGCAAAAAGTAGTTTGATAAAGCTTAAAGTGTTGAAGTAGTTTTAAGTTCAACAAAGTTTTAAAAGCAGTTTTAAGTTTGAAGCCGTTTTAAAATCATTTTCAAGTTTGAATCAGTTTTAAAAGCAATTTTAGGTTTGAAGCAGTTTTAAACGCTTGAAATTTGAAAGCAGTTTTCAGTTTTAAAAGCTTGAAGTTTGAAGTAGTGATGGGAAGTCCGGTTCTTTTCTGTGAACCGGTTCTTTTGGACAGTTCGTTTCAATGAACCGGTTCATCGGTTCTTTTACGCCCTAACGTAATGACGTCATTCGTGATGACGTAATGATATCAAGTCTATCGTCCCGGGCTGGGATGAAAATACACATTCAAATATATAAAGTCACTAATCATAACTTCATTCAGTTAAAACATAATCATGATCTGAAAAGTTTACAATTAAGTTTTGCAACTAAGCACCCAAATACAGTAACAGGCAGTGATGTGCATACGGGGATTTAAGTCTTGAAGATATAAAGTAAATTTCAATTTTTGTTTACACTTTTAGAAATAAAATATACTATAATTGTATATTTTAGCCCTTTAATGGGGCAGTAACCTCAAAGGTGCAACTATACCCCTAAAAGTGAGCATATTAGTACCATACAAGTATGCACCTAGTGAGCATTTTAGTACTATACATGTATGCATTTTTAAAGGGTAGATAAGTTTAAAAGGTGCACCTATATAAAGTAAATCTATGAAATGTTAAAAAACATGCCTTTAAAATCTAATATTAAGTGAGTATGATTAAATATTATTTTAATAATTTAAAAGATCAGTTTAGTTTAGAAGTATCGGTATCGGTATTGACGATACTGGGCTTGAAAATATTGGTATCGGATCGAAAATAAAATAAGAGGTATCACCCATCCATTCTATTAGGTAGCTTCACGCTAAATCACGCATGCGCGGTATCATCAGCTCATCGGTTCTCAAATCGGACGCGTCCGAAAGAAACGGTTCTCGATTCAGTGTACCGGTGATACGAAAAGTATCACCCATCCATTCTATTAGGTAGCTTCACGCTGAATCACGCATGCGCGGTATCATCAGCTCATCGGTTCTCAAATCGGACGCTTCCGAAAGAAACGGTTCTCGATTCAGTGTACCGGTGATACGAAAACCGATGCAACCGGTTCTTGACTCGAGAATGAGAACCGCTCCAGCAGTGGGCGTGTACGTTCGTTATCCGGCTCGCTGCACACATGCTGCTCTGCTCGTGTTCATCTTCAGTTCTCTCTTCACAGCAGTTCAGTCAGTGTACTGTTTGAGTAAATGAATTACTCCGGGATATTGGTCAATTTCGACTCAGAGGGAGTGTCAGCCACATTAAAAAAGTGAATAACTTAAAGGGTTAGTTCACCGAAAAATTCAAATTAGCCCATAAATTACTCATCCTCAAGTCATCCTAGGTGTATATGACTTTCTTCTTTCAGACAAATCCAGTGGGAGTTATATTAAAAATGGTCTTTGCTCTTTCAAGCTGTTTCATGGCACTCAGCGGGTGTTGCACGCATCAGTCCAAAAGAAGTTAAATAAAAAGCGCCCATCCTTAAAAAAAAAAAAAGTGTCTCACACGGCTCCGGGGGGGGATCAAAGGCCCCCTGTAGTGAATCGTTTTTGTAAGAAAAATATCCACATTCAAAACGTAATAATCACTTTAATGTAGCTTGCGCTCACTGTTGTACACAGAAGCAGCTCCGGGCAGATGTCGTATGAGGTCAGCGTTGCGCATTCGCTGCTCAGAAGTGACGCACACGGAAGCGCAGCTTGTCAAAACAAAACAACAGACACTGATTAGAAGCACAAAATGAGGATTTGTAAAGAAGAATGTCGGAGGATTTCGATATAAGCCAAGAGGAGCCTGGTTTTCCTTTGCTAAAGTAAGGAAACTTTGCTTCCTTTGCTCCTGTTAACAAACGTTGGTTTTCACGAGACTCACCGGCGCATGTGCAGCGCTGAGCTTGCGCTCACTGTTGTACACAGAAGCAGCTCCGGGCAGATGTCGTATGAGGTCAGCGTTGCGCATTCGCTGCTCAGAACTGACGCACACGGAAGCGCAGCTTGTCAAAACAAAACAACAGTCACTAATTAGTAGTACAAAATGAGGATTTACAAAGAAGAATGTCAGAGGATTTCGATATAAGCCAAGAGGAGACTGGTTTTCCTTTGCTAAAGTAAGGAAACTTTGCTTCCTTTGCTCCTGTTAACAAACGTTGGTTTTCACGAGACTCACCGGCGCATATAGGCTAATTTTAATTTTTGGGTGAACTAACCCTTTAAGTAATTTGTGGATTAATGCTTACTGGAGACGCGAACCGTTTCAAACGATTCAGTCCGATTTGGTGAACTGGTTCAACCCGTTCACTGAGAAGAACCGGATAATCGTACGATTCATTCGCGAACCGGACATCACTAGTTTTAAGTTTGAAGCCATTTAAAAGCTGAAAATTACACTGTCATGGAGTTGAGCAATTTTAAAACAACAGATCATGTGATTCAGGATGAATAAATATGGTTTTAAAGAACACAGAGCATCTGATGTGTCATCAGACTTGTGAAAGAAAAAAACTGCAGCAAAAAGTGGTTTGATGTAGATTAAAAAGCTTGAAGTTTTGAAGTAGTTTTAAGTCTAAAGCAGTTTTAAAAGCTTGACGTTAGAAGCCATTTTTAAAAGCAGTTTTAAGTTTTAAAAACTTGACGTTTGAAGCAGTTTCAAGTTCTACACGCCTGAAGTTTGAAGCAGTTTCAAGTTCTACACGCCTGAAGTTTGAAGCAGTTTCAAGTTCTACACGCCTGAAGTTTGAAGCAGTTTCAAGTTCTACACGCCTGAAGTTTGAAGCAGTTTTAAAAGCTTGAAGGTTGAAGCAGTTTTTAAATGCAGTTTTAAGTTTTCATAAGCTTGAAGTTTGAACCAGTTTTATGCTCGAAGCAATTTAAAAACTTGAAGTTTGAACCAGTTTTAAGTGAAAGTGAAGTGACGTGTGGCCAAGTACTGTGACCCATACTCGGAATTTGTGTTCTGCATTTAGCCCATCCAAGTGCTCACACACACAGTAGTGAACACACACACACACCCGGAGCAGTGGGCAGCACAGTGAGCAGTTGGGGGTTCGAAGCATTGCTCAAGGGTCTCACCTCAGTCGTGGTATTGAAGGTGGAGAGAGCGCTGGTAACTGACCTGAGACTCGAACCCACAACCTTCAGGTTACAAGTCCGACTCTCTAACCACTAGGCCACGACTGCTTTAAAAGCACAAAGTGAACGTTTTCAAGTCTCTGACAGATTGCTATGTGGTTGGTAGGGTTTTCTTTGTGGCTTGAAGCCCTGAAGGGTTTTCAGGAACATAGAATATCTGATGTGTCATCAAGCGAAACTTGTGCAAGAGAAAACTGCAGCAAAAACACAAGTCATGTGAATCGCCTTCCCGTCCGTCACACATCAAGAGGAAAACAAGACGAGCACATGTTTTTAGTGCCATCATCACTGACCTGTACGTGTACGGGCCGATCTGCAGGACGACGGGTCTGTCTCCATCCAGAACCTCTGCAGGATTGGTCAGATTAAAGAAGTAAAACTGCATGTAAACCGGCGGCGGTGGGTTTTGAAACACCGAAAACGCCTCCGTTCCATTTTCCAGAACTACTTGCTGTAAGAGAAAGTGAATTGTGGGTAGTTATTTTTTACAAACTCATGGTTTCTAAAACAATTTAGGAAGAGAAACACATTAAAAAGCCCATAAACATAATAATATCATATATTTATATTTAATATCCTACTCAATGAGTACATGTACAAAAATATGTGCAAATGACAGCAACAAGAAAAAAAGTGTTTTCTAGACATGGTATTATTAAGTCATTTCTCTCCTTGAAGAAGCGTATTGCATATGAATATTATATTACTTCAATACCATAGTTGATAGCATCATATTAGTGTATATATAAAGCAGACACATTTGGGATGAGGACAATAGAAGCGATCAAAATCAACAAGCATCATATCATTTAAATGTAACTTTACATGCATCTAACATTCATGGTGAATAAATATGGTGTATATTATTGTTTCATATTATTACAACATTATGCGAGTTGAAAATAATAATAATGATTTATATAATATTATGATATTCTAATAAAATACTGTATATTACATACTATAATATTACATATATTGCTATTAATATAAAACATTATATATTATGATCTTTAAACTGTATGAAATGGAATTTCAAAATAATGCCAGAAATAAATATTTAGACTATGGCAACTCCATAAACAATGTAAATACCATGGTGTATATTAAGGGTTCATACAATTATGTGAGGATAATAATATTAAACAATGTCGGAGCCGATGGCCCGAGTTCGAGTCCCGGCTCGTGGACCTTTCCCGACCCCCCCCCCCTGTCTCTCTCTCTCTCTCTCTCTCACCCACTTCACTTCCTGTCGACCTACTGTCCTATATATTTGTAAAAGGCATAAAATGCCAAAAATAAATCTTTAAAAAAAAAATTATATTAAACAATATACTAAGATATGATAAAAATATCTCTGCTGCATTTCTTACAAATCAGCATGAGATGTCACTTTCTGAGCACAACACAAACTACACATGTACAGTCACAGCATATGAAGAACACACTCACTGACCTCTTTTATTGTGTTGTTTATGAGCTTCTGGAAGACCTGCGCCAGAGCCATCGCGATCCCGGCGACTAACAGCAGAACGCAGAGGACCCCTGCGCCGTAAACACAGCAGGAGCGGAGCATGATCCGGCTCGGTTCGGCTCTGACAGGGACGGACGAACACACAGCAGCTGAACCGGACTCGAGAGTGTTTGCATGCGTCCGCAGCAGCAGCAGCACTCAGAGAGAAATGAATCATCTCGCGGAGCTCCTGCAGGGGGCGCTCGACGGCGCACTGAGACGACCCTCCATAGAAACCCATTCAAAACTCGCGACGGGCTTTGTGTTATTAGAGCACACGTGCACTCTGGAAAGCATGCGCATTTAAAAAATATTGACCCAAAAGATTTTTACATGACATGCAAAAGCAAATACGACATTTCATTCTGTTCAAAAAGACGTGTATACACGCAAAGACAAACCCGATCAGCGATGAGAAAAGCATCAGGCATCACGTGACAGCGCGGGCAATTAATTACACTCGAAAAATCATTTTAATTGGCATTTAAATTGAAAATGCACAGTATAGAGTTAAAGCAGTTATTATTATAAATGATTACTGGTCCAGTGAACCCAGCGGCACGCCCATATTGAGACGATCCGCGATGTTTACCATCCTATCTTATTATATTTCTAGCGAGATATGAAAGAACCGCCGCCCACTCATGAGTCAGGAACTTTTATAACACATTATCAGACCTTCACATTCACCTGTGACATAAATAGACAATTGCAACCATTTATTATTGTTTTCCTGTCAATTATACATGTTTAGAGTGATTTAGAAAATCAAATGTCGGTTTCTATTTCGACGGATAGAGTTGGAGTGGCGAAGCTAATGAGCGTAGAACATTTTGAGAAGTCATATGACCGACTGCGCATGCGCAGCTCGCAAAAGCTCGACTGAGTGGAGCGGCTAGCGAGCGTCTAGAGAAGGTCACGTGACTCGGTGCGCATGCGCAGAGCTGCTGGCGGCGGTTGTCTGTTGGATGTTTAGATTCTTCTAATCTGCTTTACTCTAATTTAGCCTCACTCTCGCTTTGTGTTCGTGATCTGCACCGGATTCATCCGGTGAGTCTCTGTTTTTGCTCAATTCACTCGAGATGCAGGAAAAGTGGAAGTTAAAATCGTATTAATGCATGTCTTTAAGGTCTATTTCCTGCAATAATTATGCGACAGAAACAGAAAAACCTGAAACTCCGGTCAAACATATGAACTTAAAAGAGTTAAAGTACCGAAAAACGTAAAACTAGGCTTTACTAATCTTACTAAACTATTAAATCTAAGTTATCATTAGTTAGTGCAGTTTTTTTAGATGTCACGGACCCCACAATATGATCATCCCACTTAAAAAAATATAAAATATAAAACATAATAATAATTGTATTATAGATATGTGTAGAATAAAATTAGGGATATAGACATTCTTAGTTTTACTACTTTAATTGCATTTGTTATTCTAATGATTATAATAGTAATGTACTGGTAAATTTATTGAATATTTTATTTATTTTAATACATTTTTGCATTTATTTATTTCGATTAAGCTTATTTTTTATTACTAAATGTTTTTCATAGTTATAAATGTCATGCATACTTTCATTGGTTAATTTTTTTTATTATTAATATTTTTCATAGCTAAAAATGTCATGCAACTTATACATGCTTTTATTGGTTGACAATAATTTTTATTATCACTATTTGTTCATAGCTAGCTAGAGATGTCTTGTAACATTTATACATGCTTTATGCATTAATGTAAGTGTGTGTGTTTTTGCAGAGCGTGTGAGGACGGTCTGATGTCTCCTGAGTCCAGCGTCACGTCGCTGCTGGCCGCTTCAGGACTCCTGCAGAGCTCCTTACGCCCGGAGCCCGTCCCCAGCATCAAATACAGAGACAGACACTACATCTCTGCGTCAGAGGCGCTGGACGCTTACATCACTGACTTCCAGAGGAGTCTGCGAGACGCTGAGACCACAACCGGGACACTTGAGCTGCCCAAAGAGATTACAAAACCTCATCCCAGAAACAGAGACGGTACATCAGCACAGTACATGCAAATCAAGTCATGCTTTAAGGAACAAACAATGTAGCTCCTCAGAAACAGTTGTGGATGCTACAAAGTGGTTGCCGAGCAACACACAAACGTAAACAAAGGTGTGTGTTACTTTGTAGCGTCATTCACAACAGCTTCGACCGCGGCTCAGCCAATCAGAGCCAAGCACCGGGACTCTCCGCTTTATAAATTGTATTTAAGCTGGAATATTAGTTAAAACCAGCACCAGTGTGATTGTACTATCACTGCCATATTATTATTATTTTGAATAGACTTTTATTTTTTTATTTTTCATTCTGATTTTAGGTCAGCTTTAGTAATTGATCATGTTTTGTTTAGTACATTTGGTGTGTTTCATTAGTTTTTATTTTTGTAAATATGTCTGTAGTTGTTATCTTGCTCTTCTGTGATGCACTTTGGTCAGCCAACTTGAACGTTTTATTTGAAGTTGAATATTTTCCACTTTTCCATCCATTTAAATGTTAGTTTAGGTTTTAGCTGTGTCTTGATTGGTTTCAAGAGGTTTATTTTAATTGTGTTTATTCATTTTTAATTCTGTTTTAGTAATTATAGTACTTCAACTTAAATTAAAATTAAAAATGTTGTCTTGGCAACAAACTGAGATAAGTTATTTGAATACTTTTTATTTTATTTCAGTAATGTGTTTTAATATTTTTCTGTTTAATAGTATAATCCATATATTTAATATTTTTATTTCCCTCCGATTTTTCCATTCAATTAAATTTCATTAAAAAATACATTTTAGTTTAGCTTTGTGTTTTTTATGGGTTTCAATAGTTTTTTTTACTATTTGTTTTATTCATTTTTATTTTAGTTTTAGTACTTCAGATTAAACTACATGAAAATTAGAAATTGAACTGAAATGAAATAAGTGAATTAAGTTTTATTATAATAAAAGTTTTATATGTTTTTTAATATATTTAGTTTTAGTTTTAGACACAACACTGGCTCCATGTCATTCCAGATAAAACCCTCACTGGTCTCTTCTTGTGTTTCTCTCTGTTCAGATGATAAGATTGCTTCTCTGACCTTCAGAGCCGAGCAGATGTTAAACGCACCTTCTTTTGCGCTCTGTGAGCCGGTGAAGGAGCACAACAGTTCAGGAGATACGGAGGATGCTCTGGACGCGGACCGATCCTGGGACAATCCCCCTGTGACGTTGTGAGTGATGGACAATGATGATATTTTCACATTGAATCTCAAGAAACTTCTATTATTTATTGGCAAAAATGTGCCTTTGGTTCTTAAAAGCAATGCAAAGGTCATGAATTTGATTCTCAGTGAGTGCATGATTGAATGCAGTGTAAATGCTTTGAGTAAAAGCATGTAGTAAATGTAAATATAAAACATGCCCTACCGTCTGTAGTAAATCTCCAGTGCGTGTGGGTGGCGCTGATGAACCTCCAGCGCCCGGGGAACTTCAGAGGAGCAAGGTACAGTATGTGGCAGTCATCATGATGTCTTCTGTTCATTTAAACTCAATGCTCTTCAGTGTAAATCTGTCTGGCTCCAGTCTGCAGCTTCCTGTTCATCAGGATACAGCAGCAGAAACCATCCTGGTCCAGTGGAGGCGCTCAAACACATGCTGTTCCTCCTGCAGGCCGTCGAGCATAAGATCAGCCAATCACACACCTCCGGTGACACCAAAACCACTGCAGCTTCAGCCGAGCATAAGATCAGCCAATCACACGCCTCCGGTGACGCCAAAACCACTGCAGCTTCAGCCACACAGCTGGAGAGAGACACACCAGAGCAGGTGAACGGAAAACCAGCCTTGCTCCTGTTATAATTGACAAAGCTTTCAGTTTCATTGGTTAATATGTGTCCCTGGAGCACAAAAGCAGTCATAAGCAGCACAGGTATATTTGTAGCAATAGCCAACAATACATTGTATGGGTCAAAATTATAAATTTTTCTTTTATGCCAAAAATCATTAGGATATTAAGTAAAGATCGTGTTCCATGAAGATATTTAGTAAATTTCCTACCGTAAATATATCAAAACTTAATTTTTGATTAGTAATATGCATTGCTAAGAACTTCATTTGAACAACTTTAAAGATGATTTTCTCAATATTTAGATTTTTTTGCACCCTCAGATTCCAGATTTTCAAATAGTGTCCTATCCTAACAAACCATACATCAATGTTAAGCTTATTTATTCAGCTTTCAGATGATGCATAAATCTCAATTTCCAAAGATTGACCCTCATGAATGGTTTTGTGCTCCAGGGTCACATATGGTGATCTAGTTTGTCACATTGTGGCAAATGTTAGTAAGAATGGTATAAGAATGACTTTTTTATGTATCAGGCAATATACAAAACAATTTACAAAAAACAAGAAATGTATTCATAAATGAGCAATATTGTTATACTTTTTGTACTGAGATGCAATAGCAAACTATGGAAGCCACAGTATATTAAAAAAAAGAACATTTTATTATTCAGACTTTTTTCTTTCAATTCTGAGAAAAAAGTCCAAAGTGTGAAAGAAAAAGTCACCAATTACCATTTTTTTATTTTGTGGCGGAAGAGAATTACGAGATGTAAACTCCGAATTGTGAGAAAGTTCTTTCAATTTGACATTTATTTATTATATTTCGCAGTTATGGCTTTTTTGTTCTGAGAATTTAGAGGTTTTATCTCGCAATTTTGAATAAGCCTGAATTGTGAGATGTAAAATTTGAATTTTATAAAGTCTGAATTCTGAGTTTATTTCTTACGATTTTGATTTAGATCTTGTAATTCAGATTTTTTTTTTTCCTTAGAATTGCGAGGGGGAAAAATCTGAATTGTGTGGGGGGGAAAAGTCAGAATTACAAAATATAAACTCATAATTGTGAGATAAAAAGTCACAATTACCATTTAAATTTCTTTATATTGTGGTGAAAACAGGCTTCCATAGAGAACAGCAGAGAATATATTATTATTACTCCTAAATTAATGTCTGATTTATTTTCTTTCCTTTGTGAAACACAAAATCAGATGTTTTGCAGAATGTTCACGCTGCGCTTTTCCACAAAATGAAAGTATTTTTTATACAGCTAAGCTGAAAAAAAGAGGCAAAAAGGACAAATTACACTTAAAAAAAAAAAATGCTGGGTTGTTTCAACCTAACTTTGGGTCAAATGTGGACTAACTCGGCTGTTGGGTTAATTTTTTTACATAAAATTGGAGTAACATAATATAATGAAAGTAGTTCCATACTACATGCAGTATATACCACTGAAGAAGTCACTATAAAGCTGATGTTTGGTGTTATTGATGAGCAAAAATAATGCTTTTTTTAAGGTTCCTCAGCAGGAAACAGAAGAAACTGACCTGGCAAACGTGGAGTCATTGCAGAGGTCAGGAGGCTCAGTGAAGCAGCGCTGATCTCATATCATGAATTCAAGCTGGTTCAGTGTTGTTGATCTTTGATCTGTTTTCTCAGAGCTCTTCAACACCTGGACAGACTGAAAACACTTGTGGACGACATGAACGAGAGGAAGGCCAGAGCAGAGGATGATGGGACAGATTGTACAGACACTCCTGCAGCTAATATCACAGACTGGGCCAGAATCAATAAACGGTTGTGAATCAGAAATCACAGACTGTTATTATCCTACAGACAGACATTTCATTGATCATATTAGCTTAAAAAGCTGATTCTGTTTTAAAGGATCTTTAAAACCTCATGAAAGATAAAAAATGTAAATAAACTATTCAGTGAAGCGGTTTCAAAGGGCACATGCTTTTACCGGCAATGAGCAGCATTTGATCTAATCAGTCAGAAATTGTGTTTGTCTGAAGTGTTTACATGCAGGTCACTGACTAATATCAGAGTTCATTTAATCATTTAGTTTTGCAATGCTGTCTTGATCACTGACTGGAACAATGATATATGAGAACAAGACAAACTGCATTCCGTATAGCTTTCATGCGCGACGCTTCTTTGATCCCTTAAACAGGTCATGTGATGCGATTTCAACTCTTCCTTTCTCTTTGGAGTGTTACAAGCTCTTGGTGCATAAAGAAGATCTGTAAAGTTGCAAAGACTAAAGTCTCAAAAGGGATTCCCAGCTCTGTTCCTGAAGATACGCTAACAGTGAACGTTTGATTCAACCGAACACCTCTTTAGTAGACATCCAAAATGTGTGGTGTTGGTGGACCTCCAGGAACACTAGAGGTTTGGAGTTAAGATTACTCCTTATGTCTTAGTGTTGTGGTTTTTGTTTTAAGGTGGAAGATCCTCTTGGTCGTGGGGATGATACTGCACTCAACGGGATTCGCCTTCACTGTGTTGAGATTTTTCAAGGCTCCTCACACTCGTACCCCTCTGTTCAGTCAGATGTAGGCAGGTAATGGGCTAAAGAGTAATGCAGCCGGTTTACAGTTATTAAGAATTGTTCAATTTTAAGAGTACGAGGCAGTGTGGTGTTTCCTTTCATAGCGTAGACAAATGAATGTTCTTAATGACGATTGGTTTGATCACCTTTTTCTTCAGCCAGGGTCGGTGGACAGATATCAAATGGTGTCCTTCTGGATTCTTGACTGCTTTTCAGCTGAGAGTCGAGAAATCTCAAGGAGATGGTGACGACACGGCCGCAAACAACATCATGTGAGTTTGTGATGTGCTAAAAATCCTTTAAACCAATTTGGTGCTCTAAAATGACTGGTCTTCTACAAATTGCTTGTAATCACTCTACGCTTAACTATCACCAAATCTTACTGGAACTGATTGCAGGGCTCCAGACTGTGACTAAAGTGGTTGCAGTTGCGACTAAAAAATATTAATTTGTGTATTTTTGCTGATGTCGCCACTGACGAGTGGCTGTGCACATCAAAGATTTGGTGGGAAAAAAAACCCACCAGCGGTAACGGTGCACTTGCTAAAAGCAAATCTGGTTGTGATAATACTGTATACCGTGATAAAGCTTTCACAATTATTGCAACATGAAAATCTGATGGCGTCGCATGCCTAGCTCCCACTTTAAGTGACCCTTAGTTCCCAGGACATCTACAGTACAAGATGAACTAAAATGCTGATAAACACATGAAAAGATGAGAACCGCCTGTATGACTAATGTTCAATTTATAAAAATCAACTCCTTTTATTCTGTGGCACCTAAAGTCAAATTGGAAGTTCCAAGAGTTTTTGTTAGTATTGATTGAAACGACATGTTGCACCCAAACTTCCAGGTTCAAATGCAGTGGAGGGCCTTTACTGCAGGGTGACGGCACACGCTGGGGTGATTGGGGTCGCTGGAGTCAAACATGTGAAGGGAAAGGGATTTGTGGTATCAAGACACGGCTAGAAAAGCCTCGAGGACAAGGAGACGACACCGCTCTCAATGACGTGCGCATGTTCTGCTGCAATTAAGGTGAGGTGAACACAATCAAACACTCGGATCTCCGTGATGTTAGTGCTGGCTTATCTGACTTTGGCTTTTCTTTCAGGTGTTAGAGGACGATGACAAGATCAGATGGATAATAACTGATCAGCATACGATTATGAGCTTACATTAACCATGTCATACAACAGCTAGTCAAAATAAAGCCTGAGATGTGATCATGACCTCAACACAGCGCAGAGGCTGACAGTACATTTCACTTGTCTTATCAGTCCATGCATTTCAAATTCACAAACTCCGTACTCTACATTAACTGTAAAGCTGTCAACCCACTTTTTTTCTGCGGGCATAATATCCTGACATCTATTAAAATATCCATTTTACTTGATAACATTAGTGTTTGTCTGTTGCTTTAATGTGCTTCGTTGACCTGATTGAAGTAAATAACAATTGAATATTTTGACATGTTATTTTTATATCTCTCATGCCTGACTAATCAAAGAAATGCTTTGACAAACAGACACTTCCACCCTATTAAAAAAAAAAA